TTCGACTCAATCCTATTCATTTGCACGGAAGAAGCTCTTCAGAGCCAAAACAAAATAAACAAAACATGTGTCCTACATTGAGCTCAGGTTAGCTATTTCTCAGCAAACCACTGTCTTAACTACACAAAATAAAGTTGGACATATCCAGCAATGACAGAGACGACCGATATTTCTCAGCATTCTGGTTATCGCAGCTTGTCAGCACCAATTCGGCAGTTGGTTAACTACTGTGTCGGCCGAAATACCGAACAGACAGCAGTAAACCAAAAACATCGCAGACAAGCATCAGTGCGCCTTTGCACATGAGAAAGACCATTCTTTGTAATCAAATTATTTTTCTTTTGAGTCAGAGACCATCATGTACCGTCATGCCACTTTCCTTTTTTTTTTAATATGGTAGTAGTACTCATATAATTAGTGCCAACAACCCGTTCAAGTCTAAAGTCCAGGCCTTCAAGTCCGGGCCTTTGAGATCCCTTCCAGTGTCCACCTAAAAATGGAGGTATCCATTAAAACAATTCTACGAGATGTGATAAAAAAGTTTGGGGACTTATTTTGTAGCGTAAAAATAGAGGAGTACAGCGATGCGCGCGAAGCAGTCGAAGGAAGGAACCTTCGCGTCTCGTTATACTCAAGGGCGTCGCTCTGTGAACATTTGGAGTTGCGCTTCACGAGTTTTTGGGACCACGTGCACTGGCACAACGGCGATTGCACAATAGACTGCAAATTAGAGCGATAGCGAACATCAATTCTGCGTTAAACTTGGCAAATATTGAACAGAGACCTTAGAAATGATTCGCCAGGCTTGTGCCAAAAACCAGTTAACGTTGCGAAGTGTTTTAAGTGGCACTCGCGCTTCAGGAACGGCAGAACATCGCTGGAAGTTGAAGAGGGGTGGGGCGACCTTATCCGCCCTCTCCTTGACTTCAGTGACGTTCAGCCATTCCGGAGAAGCGAGTGCCACTCAAAACACCTCGGACACCTCACTGCTTTTTGACATAAGCCTTCCAAATCATTTCAAAAAGTCTCTGTTTTAAATTTGCCGAGTTTGACGTGAAATAATGTTCGCTCTCGCTTTGGGTGTCAGTATCTGGAAAGATCGCCACTATGCTCGTGCCTGTGGTGAAACAAACGCGTGTATAGCGTAGTTCCAAATGTTCACAGAGCGACGCCCTTTGACACATTGACGCAGAAATGGCCGTTCCTTCGACTGCTGAGCGGGTATCACGGTGCTGCCTTTCCCGTTTGCGCAACAAAACCAGTCCCTGAACTTCTTGATCACTCTTCTTATCGATAAATATATGTTTGTCTTGCTCAGTAATTTATTTGTGTCAAGGAAACTTTATCTTAGGTGTCCAGAAAGATAGTGACATTAGTGACTGAGCGGCAAATTTGAAATTTGATGCGGATTTTAAGAAATAACAAAAACACAAAAACAGGGTCATTCGACGAAAATAAACCCTGGAGAAGGGTTTATTTACATTAAACAATATTTTAACAGTACAGTAGATTGTTGGGCTAGTTGGTTTTGGAACTTGGAATACATTTTAGCGCTCAAAACACAATAACAAAAAGACGAGAATCAGACACCACAGTGCGCTACTAACAAATGATTTTATTACATGAAACGTCACTTATATACCATCCGTGTTTCTGATATCGGCTCATCACTAGCCAACCTCATGTCATGCCGCGTCATTGAGGAAGGCACATTCCTTGTCAAGTAGATCAATCGAGGCCACGCGGACACATGCTGCCCCACCCTTCTTAATCTCATCTGCCTCGACTAACTCCCTCACAGATTTTTTTTTCTTGTGCTTCGCCAGAGTCTTGCACTCGGAAAACAACGGCACACACTTGCAGCTTTGAAGTCGGACATTATCGAGGCGGTCATCTGTCTGATCATTGTCAAAGCTACAAGTGTGTGCCGTTGTTTCCCGAGTGCAAGACTCTGGCGAAGCACAAGAAAAAAAACTGTGAGGGAGTTAGTCGAGGCAGATGAGATTAAGATGGGTGGGGCAGCATGTGTCAGCGTGGCCGCAATTGATCTACTTGACAAGGAACGTGCCTTCCTCAATGACGCCGCATAGCACCGGGTTGGCAAGTGATGGGGCGATATCAGTAACACGGATGGTATATCAGTAACACGGATTGTATATAAGTGACGTTTCATGTAATAAAATCAGTTGGTAGTAGCGCACTGTGGTGTCTGATTTTCGTCTTTTGTCCTTGTGTTTTGAGCGCTAAAATGTATTCCAAATATTTCGACTTCTGTGACGCCACCTTTTCGAGAAGTGAAAAAATCGTTTCAAAATCATTTTGGCGTTTTTCTCTCTATTTTTAAATCTCAAACTTTGGAGCTTCGTAGTTCGGACTGCGTAGTGATCGAAAGTGGCGGTCAAGAAAATATGACCTTGCTTGCAGGCGGCGTCGCAATTCAACACGCATTTTCCGAGGGAAAAAACGAAACAAAAGTGCAGTCGGGCCATTATATTTACTAGCGACTTCTTAGGACCTCAGAGGCTAAAAACCGTTTTTTAAGTCCTCCGTGGCGGCTTCGGACCGGCTCCGTAGCAGCGCAGCCTGTCGTAAGCTGTCAGAAGAGGCATAAAACGCGGGTTTTAGCCTCTGAGGTCCTAAGAAGTCGCTAGTGAATGTATGGGCCCGAATTACAGAATGCGGATTTGTTCCTTTTCGTGATTTATTTCACGTTCTCTATATATACACAAGGGAGCTGAATTTTGTGTCATAAAATTTGTAGTTGATAGGACGACATCTGCTTTCGAAAAATGCGCATATCTGTACATCCGCGTCAGAACCTTTTTTCGTTCGCACCGGTCAAGAAACATCGAGAAGGCAAGGTTTGCATTCATAGATTTTTATTTAACGCGCCCAGATCGTTTCGTAGTTAACCGGCTCGTTATACACGAACCGAAAATAAAATCTAAACCAAACAGCGAAGTCAGGAAAGCCGGTTAAAAACAGGGCTGGAGCCAGATGCAAAACGAGACTGCAACCATACGAAGACGCGCTCGCACAATAAGGGGGGCACAAAAAGCGTGCCGAATTTCTAAGTGTTGCAAAGTGCACGCACTTACATTTGTTACGTGCAGGGAAGACAAAGGAGTATCCAGCTCGCCTTTGTTCTAAATTCTATAATTTAAGTGAGACGCGTGCCGAGATGATATGCGAGAGCTCAGAACATCGCCGCCGTGCGTGTCTACGTCCGTAAGGATCAACCGTCGAGCCAGTCCAATACACACGCTGAGTAAGACATTTCCTCTGCCAAGAAGGACCGAAACTTCTTAGGCACGCAGCACGTGATTCCGGCAACACGTCAACGCAACACCATCAGAAACTAAACAAAACGAAACCACAAAACGGGTACCACTGCGAGGGCTGCACTGAGACGTCGAAATAATAAAGCCACTACTTTGACGTTTTACCAAAGTGACGTCGCAGACGTCAAAACTATTTTTGAGATATCTTGACGGTGGACGTCGAAATAGTCACTGCCCTTTCATTGAATGTGCATAGAATCTGCAACATGATTTTCGCCCCCCTTCCCCCATTACTAGTTAATTATAAAAACACACGTAAAAAGAAAATATTAAAATGTCTAATAGCCTTCAAAAGCAAATAGTTTCATTTGCGACTTCCTAGAGTTTTGGTTATGTGGCTTCTTCAGCAACCCTGGTCCGTTCGTAGTTCCGAAGTGATAATTCTATATTACAAATATAACGTGGTTGCTATCGGACGCCATGGTGATCAAACCTATAATAAAATGAAATATACAAATCATATTTTAGTTTCAATATTGTGACCATATATTATATTTTATACTCCGAGTCTGCTTAAATAATGACACGAATGAACTCAAAATTTGTAACAAGAAGCCACGATATTTAAACTAAAATATATTCACGAATTGTATTAAGATTTTCGTCGGTTATCCTGAAACCGTGAGCCGGATGCCTTTACACAACGAAGTTCTCGTTTCGCTGTGCAACCGCACGAGGCTTCCCGGTCGGCTGCACAGGATCAAAAATAGAGCGAGGCAAAGATAAAAGTTTAGACGGTGGGCAGGTTGTTCGAATACGCGTCAACGAAAGAATAAACACAGAGACGGACACGAAGGTCGTCGTGTCCATCTCGCTATTTCTTCTTTCAGTAACGTGTAAAAAATATAAATTTTTGCGAGTCGGAGTTTTTGTTTCAGCACTCAGTGCAAAATATCCGCTGAATTGCTTCGCTGAATAAGTAAAATATATTATAAACAGAAAACCTTTAAGTTATATTTCCTCTCAGCAATGATTTTATGAATTTAGTTGCTCAGGGACAACCCCACATCTGACCACAATCATTGATGCGCGGATCGCGCATCAATGAGCAATATTCCAACCGAAAAAATAGAAAATCATGAAGCAAATGCATCAAAACAGAGATCAATACGCATCGCTCCTTCCGAAAGAATGCGCCAAGAGGCAGCACTGATTCGTCGAGAAAACAACAACAACAAAAAAAAAAAAGAAACTAGAAGAAAAAAGAAAAACCAATCCAGCATGTCTTCAATACAGAGAACAAGTACAGAAACGCATTCTCAAGACGGCCAGCGAACGCCGCCAGAATCGATTAGGCCCACAGCCACGCGCTGCGCGTCCGCTGTCCAGCGGAAAAGCGAGCCACGTAGGCGCCGGCGCCACGCACGGCCTGGCAGCTCTCGCAGCCAGCAGCAGCAACACAAAAGCCGGGAGCTCGCCGCCGGAGGTGCCTCGTCGTCCTCCGACGTAGCATCATCCCTCCGATCCCGCCCCCTTTCGGCTCGCTCCTCATCATTTTCTCCCGCTGACTCCCCGCCGGATCATCCCCAGCATCTTCCTCCTCACTCCCCCATCCACCCTAAGCGCGCCAGCGTCATTGGCTTCCTTCCCGGTGACGTCACGAGAGCGGCCCCTCCCTCAGCCCCTCCCTCGGTTTTCCATGGCGTCGGCGAGAGCGGAGATCCCCCTCGGCGGGAGAGAGAGGGTGGCGACGCTCGCTGTTTCCCCGTTTTTGCGCGTTGTGAGCCTCCGGCGAGTCGCGGGAGCAGCTTCGGGGCGCCAGTGGTGCGCGGCTTTCTCTCGGCGCAGTGGTGGAATTGTTTTGACGGCTCGGGCGCGGGTGTCGGGCCTTGTCTACGGATGTGGGGCCCCTGGATGCGGGAACGATGAGTTGCACCGAAGTGATGTATCAGCCGTACTCGCCGTACTTCCCGTACCAGCGATCGGCGGCCGCCGCGGCGGCTGCTGCCGTCGGATCTTGCGCGGGTCCTCCGCCGGGGATAGCCGCGGCCGCCCAGGCAGCATGCCTCGACTACAAGGTGAGGGAACTCTGTTGCTCGTGAACACTTCTATGTGTCGCGGGAAAAGGCTGATTACTCCGAGCATTTTGAGTTGCAGCTGCGACGTAGAAGCGCGAGCGTTTATGGTAGGGTTCGGCTTCTCCCCACTCCGTATGGTCGGGCTGTCTTCGAGGACCACGTGTGCGTTGAGGGGAAAACAGGTTTCATTCATATTGCTTCGATTTCGTGAGTCGTAGTTTGCGGAAGTAGCCCAATTGAGAGTCGCTAGTGTGATGATTGTACGGTCCACTCCTCTCCGACCTGTTAACGCCTTGGCTATAGTATGGTGTCCGACGTGATCTGCTGCGCTAGAAATGTGGAGCCGCATTTACCGAATAAAATTGTCGGACGGTACTTCACACTCTAAATCTGACGGGATTACGACATTTAACATATTTTGACTTCAGCCTGTGCCTTTCTCACGACATCATAATGTTTAGTTCCCAGTACTTTAATTCTGGAAATGCTTTATATACCGTGCGAATTTCAAGCGACAAACTTGTTTCTCGCCAATTTAAATTAATGACGGTCGCGAACCGCCAAGACTGATGTAATATTCAAATTCCACGCGGAGCTTTGAATGTTTGCGACGAGACGGCTAATGGAATAAGCTTAACACAGAATTCATTTCTTGTAGTCATTAAATCACCTGTATTTTTATCGCTATTTGAAACAGCAACAGTTACAGCAAGCAATTACTTAGTTATTATTTCATCATTTTATTTTATAAAATACAGTGCTCTTACCCCCCCCCCCCCCCACATACACACACACACCCCGCAAAAAACAGAAAGAAAAAAAAAGAGTGAAGAAAAAAGACACCCCTTAAGTCGTTATTCTACATGACGAAACAAAAACCCAAATTCTTACCGAAAGTCCTTCGTATTGAGACATGCGTTTACACAAATAAAAACGCCATGCGCTCTGATACTTAAAATATTTAGACGTCAAAATGCAACATGTGCTTAACCCGGGTCAAATAACTTGGGGTCAAGCACAGATAAGCTTCGAGTAATTAGTCGCGGGTACTGAACTGCACGCTGGAGTAGGTTCTGACAACGTGAGTCACACAAAGTTCCAAAGAAGGTATGGAATTCGGAGCTTGGAATGCAGCGTTAGTGAACTTGGTAAATTACAAAGATTAGCAACGATTGAGACTGAAGCACGACCTGCTCCATCCTGAATTCCAAAGGGTGTCTTAAAAGACTGGGTATGTCTGTTCGCGAGATTCAACATTTTAATGTGAATGTTTTGTTTTGATACGAGTGTGCACTACTGCTTCCCTCAGCCAGATGACTTGCCTCCTGCGAAGCTTTCCGCGTCAGACGACTTGAGTCGTCTATTGCTCTAACATGTCATATGTTTTTAGGGAGCTTATTCCTAAATCCTATATTTTCCGGTATTCATTTCTAAGAAAATTCAGAATGTTTAATTGCTTCCTTTTTTTTTAATATCAATGTATTTTGATTATTTATTTTGAACGGGCGCTAAACCATGGTGATTATCAATGATTATCAAAAAATATCATGAAAAACTGGAGTTAAAGTCTGAGAGGGGAGAGTTTCGTCAAAAACAGTTTGCTGGAGGAAAATTTTCCAGAAACCTGTGTTTTTTCAGGTTTGAACCGATTTTGTATTTTTGACACCAACAGTTATCGGTGTTTTTTGGTTTAAACTGATTTTGTATTTTTGACACCGACGTACCTTTATTGGCGTGTTTCGGCTAAAACTGATAAATCAACAGTCTGCTTATTACGTACAACTAAGGTTGACTCCCTACGACGTGTACCGCCAGTTTTTCGCATCTACGATATTATGTTTGGTAAGTCTCTGCGTATCGATGTCAAACGGCCTCTTTAGCGGTACTCAATGTTTATCGCAAACAAACCGATAAGTCCGGACCAAGAGGTCTCGCGTATCGCGCGACAACCTTCGCCTTGTCTCTGACCTCGTTGTGGGGTTTGAGCTGTAACAATGATTCACGTTGGATAGGGCAGCGGTCGCCGTTCTACCGATAACTGGTGTCCTTGACTGATTAAAAAAGTGGAATGAAAATATAAAAATATAGAAATATTTTCGTCCATAATGCAGCACACGATTAGAAGAGACCGCTGTGAATGGAAGAGTTCGAAAACTACAATATTTGCACACAGAATAAAACATCCTACAGGGAATAATTTAATAGCTTTGCCTTAATAAGGGCCTCTTTAGAAAACTAGTGGGATCTTAATTAATGCTATATTTTTATATTTTTTCTAGCATTTTCTGTGCTTTTACTGCGTTCTATTCAAGCAAATTTCGGCGCCATTTGTTAATGTTTTAAGCTGCGTTTTCCCTCACATTTGCCGATATGCTCCACTTCTCAGCACGTATAGAGTAGATCTTATTCTTATTTTCTGTTAAAACGGAATTTTTTTGGTGACCTCTCTTAACTTCACGCACAATGTGCATCTTTATATTATTGCCTATGCAAATAAGCACAGCCACCGAGCAATCCCATTCATCATCTAGCCGTGATCAAAGGTTTGCGCAATATCTTTTCGCGGCACAGTGTGTGACGGAACGCCATTTAAAAAATAGCCAGGTGTCAGGCTTGCCCTCGCAACGCACTCTTCGCGTCAAATCCTGTCAACACTTGCAGGTCGCGTCTCCAGTTAACGTAAAAATGGGGGAAGTTACACCATCCTGACTTAGCCTAAAGACACGTGGCTTTCTTTATATTTATGTGAAACGTGAATATTTCCATTACAAGAACAAGAAAAGGAAACAGTCTCATGGCAATAATTTTAGTCCGACGCAGAAAAGTATTCAAAAATAAAACATCCATTATATTTTGCTAGAAGGAAATATTTTTTTTTTTTCTTAGCTGTCGGGGTCCCCGCTCTGCATTTCAATGCGTCGTAAACAAGTTATGGAATTCGACAAAGCCGACGGACTGAAAAAAAAAAAAGACAGAAAGAAAAATAAAGGACGTCTTTTGAGACGAAGCAGGTACAGCGGGATCCCGGAACGTTGATCACGTTGACATGCGACGCACGCCTTGAAGAAACAACTGAGCGCCTGCCCTAAAGAGTGTAGCGGCGGCAGGAGACAACATATGCCGATATGGGCGATACGAGCAAAAACGAGCGGTGTGTGACAGAGTAGACAGACCCCTACGAGCGACGATGTGCATATGTATTTATTTATTCCATTATTTTTACATACTGCCGGCCCAGAAGGCCAAAAATAAACGCTGCAACTTAATAAAACAACCAGATCTCACTGGATTCTTCAGGAAACCGTCGCTAAGGAGCGGAACTTTCTAGGTCTTTCAAACATTAATAAGATCAGCGAGACAATATTATACTTGTAGTCGTATGAATACATAAAAAAAATAACTAATTTACCAAACCCGTTTGCGGGAGTCACGATTTTTCAGGTTTCGATACTCCTAATGAAATGTCAAAGGCATATAAAGGTCGTGCGGTTCTACACATCGTTATAAAAAATAAAATGCGAATATCTTAGAAAATATTGAGCTTGTTGATTACGTGTCTGCATGTCATAGGGGTCTTCTGCCTTAAAGTATTACTTCTAATTCGAAAAACCTACTGGTATATATGAGGTGCAATACTGCCGCTAAGATATCTGAGGGTCTTGAGCGTGGAATGGGCATGTTGATCTGTGAGAACGAGCCAGCCTATAGAGTTGAGATGTCGTTATCCCTGTGAAAATTGAGCTGCATCGGATCCAAACTTGATCCGATTATTTTTTTGTATAACTGCTCTTGTGCTTTAAATTTCCTTAACCCTTTCTACACCTTCCAGCCTGCAACCTATAGCGCAGGCTACGTTGCAGGCGTGCCCACATTCTCTCTGCTGCGCTCAACATTTTAGTAACTTTGTGCACATCCGCCGATTTTACTGCGGACATCTGCGAGTCGCCCGCTGGTAGGAGCGGTTCTTTCACAGCAACGTGCATGGCCTTGTAGCGCTACCTTTCTGTCCTCATGCTCCTATAGCTGGGGTTCTATTTACAGTGTTAATGTTTCGCCATTTTAGCGTCGTACTAAAGGTCAGCCCATGGCAGCTGGAGTGCCAAGAACGTATCTCTTTAAAAAGAAGCTCGAGCCGGAAACACAGTTTGTTGTTATTATAATTACAGTCAGGGCACTCTTTCTATTGCCTACTTCTAATTGCTCAGCTAATAGCTGCAATGTAAAAAAAAAAAGACTACAAACAAAACGCGGCAGTCCAAATGGAATCCCGGACAGAAGCTCACCGGACAAAAGCTCACCCATTCTTTCACAGACCCGGACAAAAGCTCACCCATATTTTCGCAGACCCGGACAAAAGCTCACCACTAGAAAATTTCATGTTGGTCTTAACACGAGTGCGGACAACTTGGGTGCATGCGTGCGGCACAAAAATACAACGATAAATTAAATCTGACAGGCGCATGGTTTGTTGATTTTAATAAAAACAAGTTTATTTATCAATTGGTTAGAAGCGAATGCAGTCCCCCACTAGCCCTAGCAGCCTTGGTAGATCTCGATGTACATGCAAGCCCTCGCAAATATTTCTAAGACGATTCTGCAAATGCAGAGTAATTTTTCGCACCCGCTTTACTGTGGGCTCACGTCTCCGGGCTTTTGTAAATGCCGTGGCATTGAGCACCTGATTTTGCTGTAGGCATTCAATCAGCGTCAAGACACTTGGATGGGCGTGGCCGACGAGCTTCTGAAACCCGGTACTCTATCTTTCGCAGGTGTTCATCCGGTCTTTATCTTGACGAGTGGTGTCATACATATTCCACCGTACCGGGGGAAACTCAGGTCGCCGTCGGCGCAGAGTCATGCGAAGGGAAGAATTCGCTCTGGGTGCCGCCGCAGATGGAACAGAAGCATAACGGAAGCGGCCGTTGACATAGTTGCAATCAAAGTAGTCCAGCAGGTAGTCGATGTCACCGGTAGACTTTTCCTTGGTGGTTAGTTCTTGT